ACCGGACCTTTGGCTTTCGGAGGGGGTGGACTCCCAAATTCACCTTGTATCACCTTCTTTTTCCATTACAAAACTACAAAAACAACTAAAAATAAATCACCTCTGTAGAATAGGATGTCTCCCAACCTGACTATTGTGGTCAGCAAGTAGTTCCAAACCATATTCCCGCCTGCCTGAGGAAAAGTCAAAGGGGAAACGGTTGCCCAAAGCTCGCCCGTCTGAGGAACTGATCAAAGGAGCTAGGGGAGTCTATGTGATATCAGCCGACCTGTACGAGCATGTCAAGAACAACACATCAAAGGTCTCAACAGGTCTGGAACCCAAAGAGAACATTACTATTGCCAAAGACGGTACAAAAAGGTTTGGAACCATGCACGTCTTCATTCCCCCTGAACATCGGAAACATTGCATGTGGACTTACCACGATCATGAGTCCTCCAGTCACCCAGGCCAGAAAGCGATGTTTGCCAAGATGAGAAAGGAAGTCTGGTGGGAAGGTATGGGAAAGGACATCAAGGCTTATGTTGCAGGATTTCTGGTGTGCCAAATGACAAAGGTGATCACGCATCCACCTACTCCCCCAGTAGTCCCACATGAAACTCCTAAGATGGCATTCCCATTCCAACAAATCTCGATGGACCTCATCACAGATCTCCCCATCTTGGGAGAACAGAAATATGATTCCATTCTCATGGTTGTCGATCAGGGCCTTACAAAGGCTGCCCTGTTCATTCCGTGTCACAAGACTATTGACTCTGTCAGAGTCACCCAACTCTGCCATCAGTTCATATATTCCCAATTTGGGATCCCAGAGTCAGTAATCTCAGATCGCAGACCCCAGTTCACTTCGTCATTCACAAGGGAACTCTATAAGGCGATAGGGGTCAAAACCAAGCTTTCCACCAGCTATCACCCCCAGACCAACAGAGAAAGCAAACATGTCAACCAGGAAGTGGAAGGATATTTACAACTCTACTGTGTGGAAACCCCTAATTCCTGGGCTGCAAAGCTACTGTCTGCCAAGTTCGCACACAATTCTCGTGTCCACTCTGTGCATCAAATGACCCTGTTCTCTCTCATCCTGGGGTACAACCCATCCCCTTACCCAGAGCTTCAGCTTACTGTGGTACCCTCAGTTGACAAAAGGTTGGAACAGTTAGCATCAAATCGAGATGTCGCAATCCTCATGCACAAGAAGGCACAGGACCTGATGCATTCACGCTCGAAAGGTTCTTATGTTGCGCCCAGGGTGGGAGACTGTGTTCTCCTGGATACCGGGCACCTTTGTATCAAAAACCAGTGCGATAAGATTGTGCCCCAATGTCTCAGACCCTTTGTGGTGACTCAGGTTGTCTCCCCAGTCACCTTCTGATTGGACCTTCCCCTGACGTGGAAGGTGCACCCTGTGTTCCACACTTCCCAGATCTTCCCCTTCACCGAAAACGAAATTTATGGAGCTGTGCCCACAGCCCCTTTACCCAAATTAGTCAATGACGAGATCAAGTGGGAGGTTGAGTCAATATTAAATCACAAGATTGATGGTCACAGAGGAAAAAGGTGGTACTTGGTCAAATGGAAAGGGTTCCCCCATTCATCAAATACTTGGGAACCCAAGGAACATATAAAAGACCATGTGTCCGAAGCCCTCGATCAGTACAAACTTGCTTGACACCTCAGAAGTTAAATGGACTCCCCATGCTCCATCAACACAGAGAATGACTACACTGACCTCCCCACCCCTTATGAACCCTTTTGTAATGCTGATGACAATGGGCTCATTCCCCCCATCACAGTCTATGCACCATCCTCTCCCCCGACATCCCCAACCAGCTTTCATGTCTCCAGGTTCTCCTCGCCCCTCTCTCAATCCCATCCACTATCACCCCCTGTCGCCAGAGCTCATGGACTGCATCCACTCCAGGGGCTCTCTGTCAAATGCATCCCCATGCTGACAGTCAGAGTCCCCCATGGTAGGGACAGTAGCCAAAAGGGAAAGGGTAAGGCACAGACTGACAATGACCCCAATAGTCCACCAGCCCCCTCCAGTAGCACTGATGCTGCCAAATCTCCCAATGTACGCTCTGCCTTCTCCACCTATTCAGACAGCACTCAACGCACAGCCCTCGACCTCCTCACAATGGCCACCTCTGCCCAGCTTGACCAGCAATGACTACCAATCTCAGCAAGTGATTACCTGGACATTGTTAGGGCACTTGACCTCTTCAATGACAGGGACAACATTGACGGGTGCTCACCAGAACAGGTTGAGTATTTTAGGCTGTTGTCTCAAGTCTACAGAGCATCAGACATAATCAATGGGTTGGTCTCAAAGATTCATACAAGGAAGTTGAGCAGGACTGCCCCCCTTTTGGAGGTAATCATGATTGACATGCTGGAGAAGGCTTCGTTGGATATCACCGAGGCTGTGACAGGTGGGGCATATCACCATTTACAAAATCAACAGATCAGCAAATTCCTCACACCGCCTGCTTCTTGTCTTCTTGATCAAATCAAACCAAAGCAAGAGGAACCATCGGCTTTGAAGGCCAAAGAAGATGTTATGGATCAGGAGAAGGAGAAGGAGTGGCATGCAATAGAGTTAGGGTATGTCAACTCGGGAGAACTTTATAAAGAGGTTGGTTCACAACTAGGTATGGGGACTCACAACTCTGCTTGGGAGGTCTTGCTTCAGGATGCATCGTGGGCTGGCCTGCACAAGAACTATCATAATGCCATCCACTCCACTGATCCTATCCCTCTGACTCCCTTCGTCCCCGTCCCTTCTGATCAACTTTGGTTCTATCTCAGAGGCCAGTCCCCTGTCCCACCTGACCATGTCCTATACCAGCATGCCTGTTACCAGTGCTGTTACCTGGGACATTGGTCCTGTCACAATGGACGTGGCTCCCATTATACTCTGGCCTTTGAGGAACTGCCATCTCCATCGCCTTCATTGCCCATCACCAATCAGATGTGTTCCCATGTCTATACTACTCGCTGACCCCTATCCACTCGCCCTACCAACCTGACTCCCAGTCTGTCCTCAAGGGTCTGAGGACCTTAGAGGGGGGGTGATGTTATGCTTCTGTCAGGGGTCCTTCCTTTTTCAACTTCTTGCGGTCACGTGCATCATGTGCCTTGTCATGTCCCTAATAGTCATCACCATCCTAGGGGCTCGAATGCTCCAGGGAATGTTTGGATCTCCCATCAACAGGGTATTTCCAATACCTGTCGAGACTGCATTGCCACTGTGATCTGGTATTCCACTGCCCTCTCTGATGGACGATTTGTTTACTTCTTGCTTTTGTGACTCACCTCTGACTTGTTTTAATTGTCCTCTTGCTGTACTATAGCTCCGGTGTCAGGCTCCTCGCTGCACATTGATTGCGCCAGCCAGTATAGCCTTTTGTTGCCTCCCTATCCTCATCATTGACACCGTATGACTCCTATTTATTGGTTGATAGTTCTGTTGACTACTGCAGATATGCATCGTGATGCGTCAGTTGCAACTGGAAGGGTACTCATACTTAGGGGTATATAATCCTATGTACTTTGTCCTGTATCTGCAGTTTTTCAATAGCTTGCAACTGAGCTTCATCCCTTTGCTCTATCCTTGTTCTCTCTCTGCATGAACAACCTCAGGGACTCGCCAGTAGACAGAACCTCTGTTGGATCATTGCAATAACTCAGCCATAGGGGTTATGACAAGTTTGGCCTGTAGACTCCCACCTCACGTGCTTCATGCCTATTCCATTTGAAGAAGTCACCGCACTCGGGCATAACACTCATCAAGGAGGTGGACCAAGTCAAGCCAAGCTCGGAACTGCTTCTTGCAGCAGGAACTTGTCAAATGATATTCTGCAGTAAGATCAGGATGCATGTGAGACTCTAAATGGAAGTGGAGGTGGTCTTCAGTGAGATGAAACTCACTTCCTTGCAACAGTACATTCAGGCTCTCCACTTTGATGGCCCACAAGTGAAAGGCCTTATTACCCTGCATCAATGACAGCATCTTTTGTTGGATAGCCTCTGCCCAGTCACTAGGAAGCCAATATGTACGAACCTCCTCCATAAACTCTGAGAAGGTGAGAGCAGTCAGATGACTGCCATTGTTGCTGATCCAGTCCTGTACATGGGGATCCAACAGATGACCAACAACCTTAGATACCTGGACATCCTCTGCAACACTTTTTAATCAGAAATAATTTTCACAACCCAGCTCCCAGCTTCACAACCCTTCTGGGGTAATATCACCCACTGTCAAGAAGGGAGGAGTCTTGCCAGGAGTAGTGTTCTCACATCATGCTGTCTGGGACTGTGCCAAGGACATCACTATGGTAGGAAGGACTGCAGTGAAACTGTCAGATGATGAGGAGCTGCTCATGGTAGTGGGAGATGGCAGTAGTAGGGAGATATGCAACAGAGCAGAGGGCAAAGATGGGGTGATGTCAGGCAAGGTGACAAGTGATGGCATAGGTGGCAGGTCAGGCAAGGTAACAGATGGTGGGGACAGTGAAGATGGAGATGATGACAGCAGTGATGATGACAATGTCATGGGCAGAGGGTTATTCCCTCGACTATGGGTAGTCAAGGGCACAGGGACAGAGGGGATGTGACAAGATGGCAGTTTGACACCTCTGCTAGGCATCGACATGTGCTATGGCACATTCAAAAAAAGTGGAACTCACCACAGAGGGGTGAACACACTCAAACAGATCACAACAACGACAGAATGTGGACAGGCATGTGGATTTGAGCAATCAAGCATATATGCTGATACAAGATGATGGACAGAGAGAGAGAAAGGAAAGAAAGAGATATGATCCCTCCACGATGCAGACAGCACCAGTATATATATCCCCCAGTGTCCAAACAACACAACACAGCAAGAGGGATCTGCATGCCCAGACGAGAGCGCGATAGGAGATGTGATAGTGTGACATGCTAGCAGCAGCATCGACAGCATGAGTGGTGTGTTAGTGGTGAGTGGTATGCTTACATTCTGCAGGACGTAATCAACTCTAATATCGAGATGGTTGTAGGGGTGGCACTGATCGACATCGCTGGTTAGATATTCATTAACTTGGCGTACTACCGGTGAGATGGGCGTCTTGTGACAAGAATCGTGGGTGGGTCAATTCCCTCAGCCAAATATTACTGCCAGATGGTCATACTACTGAGGACGTGTTCACAATTGGGTGCGACTCGAAACCCAATTCAAGACCTTGTAGGTATATAGAATGGTCCTCAACATGAAACGCCTTCTAGCACTTTGTCATTACTGGTCAGGTAGCGCACACGTATGTGATAAGTATACCCTGGGTATCGACGAGGGAGAGAATTATATAGAGAAAGAGGAGTGTATACGGTACATAAATGAACGTAGTCCAGACCACAATGATAGTTAAAAGGAGTGAACCACAGTGGGGTAGCTATGTAAGATGCAGGAATTTCATGATAGTGAGCTTGTATCCTGACAATCGTCATCAAATGACTGAGGTGACTGTGTTCCGATTTGCATGAGCCGACGCAGGCGGGCCAGCTCGCTTGACAACATCCTAAGAAAATCCTGTCATGAACGTGAGGTACTTCCAACAGGAGATCGTACTAACCTGGCAGTGTCGGTAGCCTCGTCACTCTGCCGGGAGTGTAATCCTACCTGGCCTCTCAGCTTCTTGATCTCTTCGCGGAATTCGTCCTCGACCTCCTGTCGAATCTTGGAGCTCTCTTCGCGAAGATCTTTGACAGTTATTTGCTGTTCTTGGGCTGCCTTAACTTCTTCCACCAACTGCGCATACTTTTTACCAGCCGACTCTGCTTCCCTCTTAAGCCTGTCCTCGCGTTTGCGCATTTCGTCTCTAAGTCTATCTGTATCGTGCTTCCAACTTTCTGTCATAGATTTGATGCTGTCACGCAACGTGATATATTCTCTTTCGCATTTCTGGGACAATGCGGTCGATTCTGCCAGAGCGGTTTCCATTTCTCGGAGCGCTTTTTTGGATGTCGCAGTCTCGGTCTTCAATTGGGACTTGAGCGTGGTGGCCTCAGCTTCGGCCTTTCGTGCTCGCTCCAAGACCTTGAAGCTAGTATGAACATCGGGGTGTTTAGAAAAGAACATCGGCTCACCTCTTGTAGTAACCTTTCTTTACGAGCGACCACGTTGTTCAGGCCCTCGTTTTCAAGTCGAAGTCGCTCACGACTTTCTTTCAAGTCTTCCGTCTGTCGAGTTAGCTGAGCCACAGTACGTTGAGAAAGACGAAGCTGAGCTCTCGTGTTCTCTAGTGCGTTTCGAGCATTTACTACTCCCGCTTGAAGATCTGCCAAAACTTTCGTGGTCCCACCAGGGGTAAGCGAAATTCGACGATTCGGAGTTGCGGGAGCATGAAGCGACGAGGACGAAGCATTGGGGTCAACGGCGTCGTTCATTGCACTGGCATCTGTTGGCGAAATGCGGTTCGGAGACGGACCGTCTTCGGCTAATGCCCGGGCATTCCCTATGAGCGTTGAGTTACATGAAGCGTGAAGAATAGACTTAGGGGGAAAGCATCTCGGAAAAACCGAAACTGACCTACGGAGGCTACTGGTATACCTGAGCGTTCGACATTAGATCACTTTAGTGAGTGCATCACTCATAATGGGAGAGAACGTACGACTGAGAGTACGGGTAGGACTCGACGTTCGCTTTAAGAAATCTCTGTGAGGCGAACTGCTGCCGCCAAATTCCATAGGAATACCTTCGCGAATGCCATCCGCTACTTTTAAGATGGGGGTAATACTTTCCCGTTTCGGGAGAGGAAGACTAGACTCAGGACCAGCTAACCCGTGCAAGACGTCAAAGCTGGATCGCCGTTGCATCTTTGGGGTGGAGAAGCTGTTATTATAGGCAACGGGTGGGTGACTGATGTCCAAGACATCTTCAGAAGAATAGCGAGAATGGGTGGAAGAAGTCATGAAGCCGGGTGGGAGTGGACGAGGTCCACGTAGAATGACGTTCTCTAAAGAATGTAACTGAGCCTGCCGCTGTCGAATAGAGTGTTTCAGGGTTGACACCTGATTCCGGATAGCCACTGGATGAAACACAACGAACCACGTAGTTTGGATTGACCACAAGTTCACAATCAACGATGTTGAAGAAAAATACCTGGATCGTTTAAAGAAGCAGGACTTGGCGCGCGTGCAGAACGCACGGAATTCCGCGACGAAGACCTGGAAGACGGACGAGCGGCAGAAAAAGGCGAATTGTGTGGGCTAGACATCCAAAGGCGGGGAAACGAAAGGCTGAAAGGTCAACCCGTCCCGGCCCAAAGAACGAAGCCTTAGTGAAAGTCGATCACGAAGTCGAAAAGCTGCTTGAAGCAGCTACGGTGGTAGTATACGTTCGCGTAGTTCCCTTGGCTAAATTTGCAAATAGTATAGTTGGAGGTCCATATTTACCCTTGTTTGGCCACTAATGAGACGCGGTCACGTGAAACGACACTCTGGGTCATCTCCCGTGTTACTACTGTTCGTTCGAGGCAAAGGATGGCTGACTGTGGCATCTGTCTTGAAGCTTTGAAGAAGCCGGTCTCCACTCCCTGCGGTAAGTTTACAGGAGTTTCCAGATTATGTGGTGTTGCAATTTACTCGCGAACAGGCCATGTTCACTGCGAGGCGTGCCTCAGAAACTACATTGTCTCTAGCAACGACGCGTTAAAATCAACATGTCCTACATGCCGACAGGAATTTCATATTGGTGTGTTTTCTACGCTGTGCCAAGTCCATCGTCTGAATTACAAGTAGCCACACCCGACTTGGCTGTCGTCCCTGAAAAATACCACGGTTTTATCCTGCCTACGATCCGCAAGCTGTATATTGATATTCCCTCGACTTCCAAATTGGTTAAAAAGGTTAACTCGCTCAAAACCCAAGTCAAGGACCTCTCAAAAGAGATCGATCTCTTGGACGAGCGTTGTGACGGCCTCGAGCGCGAGGTTCAAGCTTTTGCTGAGGCGGAGCGTGCGACTCGAATGGAGATGCGCGCATTGCAGAATGAATACGAGGAACTCAGTTACAAGTACGACAGCATGGTAGCCTTGTGCACGGAAACCCACCGGTTGGTCACGTTGCTCTATTCCCAATTTGATTACAGCTTATAGCCTCAATACTATTGCAACCAGTTCACCTGGTCCAAGCCGCAGTAGCCACAATAACGACGCAACTACCAGCTTGGATAACGCCTCCCTTCCAGTACAGCTACGACCAAAGCGCGCACTCCCAAAATCACGGCCGCACCGCTCTGCGCGACACTCTGATGTTCCCAATGTCCCTCTGGTGTCTAAAAGACAACGGGTCAGCCGACATTCCGACGTACATGATATTGAACGACCCCCACGTAATGGATAGGATAACGAATAACAAGTCTAGGGGGCTATGTCATATGGAGACTCTGCGTGTGTTGTACCTTGAATTTACATTTTCTTGACTTACCACCGTCTTATCCAAATTTGTATATTATAACGATACCCTAGAGCCTTGTGTTATTGTACCATGCTCATTTGGCACTGCTTTGGGAGGATGGGCATCCTTGACAACCAATGGATCTGTGTCGAGTTCGATTCTTAGAATCTGGGGGTGACTTGAATACCCATGAGAAATGTTCCTGGCGTGTGATTCACGTCAACGATTTCAGGTGACAACCAACTGATGAGAACTGCCGTTATCCTTATCAATACTTCCATAGTACCTGGTGATGCTCTATCCTTCGTGACCTTTGCTAGTCCGGCGGCTCTACGGGACAATTAGTATATCACACGTGCATTCTGTCTGCCGTTGGAGATAAGACAGCCTTTTTCGGGACGAAAAGGCGGCAGAGGCTCTCGTTATCGACAGGCTGTTCTACCGTAATTTGTAACAGCCACGGGGGCACAGTCTATCAGTCAAGGTCAAGGTGAAGGTTCTTGGCTTTGCTTACCGTTTTTAAGTCTCACTCATGGCCAACGGAGGCCATCCTATTAACATGGATGCCTGCATGTTACCAGCTGACGTCCTTCCCGAGCACAACGCAACCCAACACGCCATTGACCCTCCTTCCACCGAACCGGTGGATGCTAACGCTCCTTTTAACCGGCCAAATGCAGACGTCATCCTGCGAACCGTCGACAACGTTGACTTTCGCTTCTATAAATTATTGCTCTCCCTTGCATCCCCGTTCTTCGCAAACATGTTCGCACTACCGCAGCCTCCACCGTTGGATAGCTCAGCTGACCAAATGAAGTATGGACTGCCCGTTATTCCCGTTTCCGAAAACAGTGCTATCTTGCAGAAGCTTTTGAGTTTCTGTTCCCCCATATATGATACGGATGTGCCTGTGCTAGAGAGTCTTGACATTGTCATGTCGGTCTTGGACGCTGCGGACAAGTATGATATGAAGCGGGTCGGTGAATTCGTTGTCAAGATGATAACTGCTCCGCAGTTCCTGGAGAAAGAGCCCATGCGAGTGTTTGCCATAGCCTGCCGGTATAGGGCCGAGGGGGAGACGACGATGGCTGCCAGGTACATGCTACGCTTCGCGGTGTGGGAGCCAACCTATGTTGCTGAGCTTGACTTCATCTCTGGCTCGGACTACCAGCGCTTGGTCAAGTATCACGCAAACTGCGGTCAAGCCATGTCCCAACTCATGCGCTTATGGACAACCTTTCCTTTACCACCGTTGGATTGCAAGTTTTGTAGAAAGCAGGGTATTGCCCGATTATCACAGAAGGAATACCAGGATTCTGTCATCGAGGCCCTGCGTATCCGTCCCTGTGTTGAAACACTATTGAGGCGGGAGTGGATCGATACCATGGTCCGCAAGGCAGGAAGTTGCCAGAATTGTAGGGAGAGGGTCCCAAGGAAGTTGGCGGAATATGTGAGGGAACTTGCTATTCCCGTAGAACAGATCATTTCCGAGGTATGTTCCTTGTTTGACAGCCCTGCACTGTCTCGCTAACCCTCTTGTAGATCCGTCTTGAATTGAAGTCCTATTAATCGACCTGGAATTCTCTGCTGTAACATTGGTGTATGCCTACAGTGTATCGTGTACATAGTGTGCGGATTACTGCTGTAGTTTTGAATCTTACTCTGATGTATGTACTTTATTTGCCGTTGTAACTTGCATGTAGAATCGGGTGGGGGGACTACAAGAAGAAAAAACTGCCGACCTAAACACAGGCTATAAACTTATGAAAATCCTGTCCATGTGACTCGCATCACATATGCACACCATAGTATACCCCAACTGAACAGGTTTCATCCCTTATTTTTGACCATATCCATCTCAATCAATCCCTATGTACATATGTTGACTTCATGGAGGAATATGGAATGATCATCATGCTGGACCAAGGGAAGGTATATACCACTCTTGCTTCCTAGTTGCCCTGAAAGAACTCTGCTTCCCCAACCTGTTTATTGCCAAAGTTCAGTCACTCTATAAAAACACAACAACAGTCATGATCAATGGAGTGGTGAGCTCCCCTGATGTCACCCACAGTGTCTGGCAAGGAAACCCCCTCCAAGCTTGCCTCCTCTTTGACATCATCATCAATCCACTGGCATGCTTACTCTCACACTCTCCAATGCTGAAAGGCTTCAACATTCCAGGAATGAATGAAAAACTTGTTGTTAGCTTGTATGCAGATGACATGATGATATACCTATCCAAGAGTAACTCATGTAGACCTCCACACTCTGCTGATGAAATAGTGACTAACCTTGGTGTGGGGCACAACTTCTTGGGACATCAGCAAACTAGCTCCCCCCTGGACAGTACTGGACAGCACTGGCCAGAAGTCCCATTACCTTAGTACCCAACAAGGTACCTAACTGGTTAGCTCTGACCAGAGTGTCCCAGTCCATTCCAGCATCACTACAGGCTGGAGCAGTGTAGCAACTACTGGAACAGTAGTATCATTATTGGTACAACATACAATTACACAGACTGTTACAGACTGCTCTAGATTGCCAAGTATTAGGATGAAAATGCATGATTCATATTTTAATAGTACTAGGTACTACATGAATGATCAAACAGCAAATGTTTGAGAAATTCTGCAGGACTAATCAAGATCTACATTGAAGCCAGTTGTCATACCTGCATAATCACCATTCCTAGACAATATAATACTTCAAGCATGTCAATGTTAATTATTGGCATTTTTGCACCTTCCTATCTTCACCCATTGAATGCAAAGCACCCTTGTTTTGGCACAATGGATGGGGGTCATATCACACTTTGCCATAAGACCCAGTATATCTGTTAGGGGTCTACCCTAAAATAGTGGTCATTATTACTGGCATGTGATACCTAATATCACTTGCCCTGCTCATATATAAAACATGTCTTGAAGCCTCATGTAATTAATTCTTTTTCTATCAAAAAACTTCATAAGTCAGCTTATTCCAGCATTCTCTCTCAACTTCACATTTCTGCATGAAATAAGAGTGTGCCAGTCAATCACAGCCAGTGCCACTCATTTTAGTGGACTTAGTTTGAAAAATTTGTGGGTGGTGATGCCATGTGAATTGCCTTAAAGGGAAGTGCTGCTGTCAATCAGGTGGGCAGGGCAGGGAAGGGAGTTGAGCATTTGGGTGGGCCCTGCTGGGCATCACAATGTCATGGTTTCAGGCAGGATGGCTCAGGAGGATGCCAAGGAACTCTGTTGACATCCTAACTATATTTATCTATGCTCTTAGCTAATGAAAAGTGGGAAATTTGCAGCCAGATAAACTAATTTTCCTGGTGTAGGGAGCTGTATACTCCCTGAGGCTGAAACAAGATACTGTCAGTTAATTCTGCTGACTCTGAGGCAAGTCCCTATCAATGCTCCCTGTTCCTTGCTTATGGAATTCTTTCTGCTTGTTGCATCATGTTTTGTTCTACCCCCTTTTGGCTCTGGAGTTTTTCCCTGACCAACATGTTGACCAGAGTAACCATCTTGCCAGATGTCAGTAAAAAACTCTGGTTACCCCTGTTTCCCAGAATCCTGCAAGCCTTTCTCTGTACCCATATGCTCTGCCCTTTGGTGCTTCTGCCTTCCCCACTAGCTTTGCCTTCCCCTCTTTACACCACAGTATGCTATACCTTTGTTCTTGTGGGAGATACCCATGCACCCCTTTTTCCTTTTATTTTTCTACCTTTCAGTCTACTTTCACATGCTCCCATATTTCACTGACAGCTGACATGTCCACCTTTATTTTCCAGAGCTTTAGTTTACCCACCCCACTTAATTCCAACTCATACCTATGCTCCATATACTATATAAATTCTGCTGTAGTGTTGGAAAAATACCACCCACTTTTGGAGTCACTATCTGTCTGTCTTTTGTGAGTCTGTGAGTCTCCAGTGTCTAAATAGTCTATTGTGTCTACAGTGCTAACAATGTCTCCAGTGTCTCCCTTTCCTCTCAAGTCCTCCATGCCAATAAGTGCAGTCCCCATCTTCTTCATCAAGTAACCTCCCCCCTTTGTGTGAAGGTCCTCATCTGGGATTTCATATACCCAGTCTGTTTGCTCTTTGCACACCCACAAGTCTCTGGAATTAAATTCTGCTGCCACACACCAAAGGTGTTGTGGACATGGTTACAGCTGACTCTGCCTAACTCATTGATGAGTTGTACACAATGCCATGAATGGAGATGAAGACTATAGTCCTCATGCATAGAAGGACTGCTGGACATTAGCAGTCATCCTTTGCACAAGAATGAGTTGTCAGTACTAGAGAGAAGAGAGGAAGTGAGTTAAACACCCATCAAAATTTTTCAGTGACTGTGTACAACATTCCAGTTTTCATTGTATCTCCATCATTTCCAAGGATATTGACTCCATTCCCACACTTGCTTAAAGTACTCAGCCACACAATCCTGCCTTCTGAGTTTGGAAAGGATCCTTGCACCCTATGCATTTCTACAGCACTCCATACATCAGATGCTCATTTCACTAAGTCCATCAGATATGGCTTCCCCTACATCAATCATCTCAGTTGCCTCCTTTGCCAGAGACAATGGCCTACATATATCTGCCAGGTATTCCCACTAGCTTCTGTCCTGAAGCCCCCTGGTTCATTCCATGCAGCTAGGTCAGCATGTTCTCCTTGTCAGTATGATTTCCAGAAGGACATTCTTTGGTTGCCTCAGGTCTGTCACTCAGTTAGAAAGGTTTTATGTGGTCATTTCAGTCTCCCCACTTGATGAAGCACACAGATCCTTCCTCCTTGCTCCCTGCAATGTCTTTATTCTAATCTTGTCTATCATTCTCCCTGCATTGCAACAGCTACAGTATAGTTTGCTGTTCTCCAGCCTCCCTGATTGCATCCATGATGAGTATGATGTGCATCTTGCCTTCCTACTGCAAGACCCAGCAGAAGATGTCCCCCCTTCTCCCTCTCCTCCATTGGAGTCCTGTTCATGAAGTGCTTTGTTAACTGCACTGAGAGGATGAATGGGTGGGAGATGTGATCACCTATGCTCCCATTACCCCACAGACCCCCAATGGCCAAGCCCTTTGATGCCTGACCCATGCCATCCATTTCTGGATTTAATACTTCCCCATCTGGAAACACTGTCCATCTGCCATCCCATCTTTTGATCCAGTGATGTCACCACTGAGATCTGGCATACATTACCACCCCCTAATGTGATACCAGTGTGCTTGCTCAGTTTCTGACATTCTTTGACTCATACTGTGATATTTTGACTGTCCTTGACTTGTTCATTGTCAATACTTACCAATCTTCTTTGCTTGCTTACTATTCATTTCTCACTTACTCATCATGGTTACTCATTGCTTACAGTCTTTACTCATTACTTACCAAGCATTTGTGCCTCATTTGTCATAGGCTGCACTCCCCCCCCCCCCCCACAGTATATAAACTCCCCTGTACTTAGCTACAAAGCAGTAATGGATCAGAAGTCACTCATGAATCAAGTCAGTCAGCTCAGAAGTATGTAACTTGTTGTCAACAGTTGAGGCTCATTTGGAAGGGTCTATCTACCTTTATTCATCATCAGCAGTGTCATCTACCCTTAGTCAGCAACTCTTGCTTAGTCATCCTTTCACTCCTGTGTAACTCAACATCAACTTGCACCAGGAGCACTCTCTATTGAAGATCATTACTCTAGCCAGCATCCCCCTCTTAGTCATCACTCATTCATCTACTCCTGCATAATTTGTTGATGACTTGTGCTATGAGCACTTCATATTGAAAAACACCACTTCAGTTTTTTCTGCCCTCCAGGTTCTGTGGAGTCAAACCACCACTCACTCATACTTGTCTTTGGTGTTGGTTTTGGTTGGTTCACTCCAGCTTTCCACACTTTGACTCACACCACAGGTCTCATGTATCTGCCCATATGCCTCTAGCAATGTACTCTACTTCTCCTTCCTACTCAGCACCCCTTGGGATGACCCTAGGGAGTTTTCCCTACAGCTTTCCCCTAGTTGCATGCTTCCCAGAAGTCTGTTACACTAAGACCAAAGTTGAGGCATAGGTTGAGCTCAGTCACAGACTGTGGTTTCTACTGAGCAACAGCTGCAGTAACCTCTGTAAATGACAGAGGATTTGGCAACACCAGTAAGAGTGGTCCTGGTTAGGGACACTGAGGGCAAAGTTCTGAGGAATGTTGTGTATGATTGAGCAGCTCAAGTCTGGGGTTCCAGGACTTGAGCCGGGAGTCTAAGTATTGTACAAGAAATGGACCATGAGGTGACTGCATGTCCATAGGTAAATATGCTATTGGTTGAACAATAATGATGCATGTTTGCAATGAGGCATGAGGGGTAAATGGTACTGGTGGAGATAGAAGGCTGTCAGAACAAAGAGAATGTGGCTGTAAAAGGAAAAGTAAGCCTGACAAGAAAGGAAGGAGGCATACAGCAGGCAGAACAGGGGCCAAATGTAACAAAGTCATGTCTCACCTTGTTTTGGAGCCCACCAGGAGGGGTCTGTAAATCTGGAAAGGAGATCCTTATGACCCACCCACCAAAGAACTGAACTTGGAGAGCTCTTAGAGCCCTTCCACAGACTATCTATTTCCTCATCAGAAATCCTAATCCCAGTAGCTGATCCCAGAGACATTTCAGAGCCACACTCATCAGACTCAGACCTTGGCCTAGATGAGATCTTCTGGAGTTAAGAATCCCCATTGTTTTACCCAGCATTTCCTGGAGGTTTCAACCTAGAAAATCCACTGGGTAATTTGCTATGCAGACCACAATGAGGCAGAATTTTGGTCCACCTCAGATGCTGCAACTGATGGCCTCAATGACTGGGATGCATTCACAAAAGAACTCCTACCCTGGTGCCTCAGTGAAAGACCATTGCTGTACCAAAGCCAACCTCAAACCTTACTCTACTATCAGGTTCAGAAACCTATGGAGTTACTGGAAGATCTCAGAAAATATGTCTGCAAATTCAAATGCATCTTCAGCCTCATTCAGAAGAAGAAACTCCCTGGGGACTATATCAATGAGAAATTCATGGAGGGGTTCCCCCAAGGTTCTGGAATTCTTTGCTCACATGATTGCAACTTTTTGACCTAGATCATGACATTAATGAACCATGGGAGTTCAATGAGCACTATAAGCAAGTGTGGGAATGGTATCAGTATCTGCAGAAATGGTGGAGATACATTGAAACCAGAATGCCATACATGAGCACTTAACTTGCTTCCATCTC